TATATATATAATTTGTGTGTTTGTGTAAGATTGGTAAATATTGGTTATTGGCCATAACACCAATAATATTGGATATCAATATCGGCTGAAGTTTAAGAAAGTTTAAGAAATTTACATAGTGTAAAAATATTGATGTATCTCTGCAAACCCAAGGTTTGGCATGATGCCCTGAGGTTGTCCTGAGATTTCACCAGTTGATAGAAGGCGTAGGAAAACCAAAGATGCTCCATCAGCTCAATGCCTGTTCATAAGGCTCTCAGGCTCCAGAGGTTACGAGACAATACACCTGGTAAAAAACCTGACGTGAAAGTTCACTCCTCCCTACACTAAGGAGTAGAAAAGAGGGAGACACAAACAAGCAGGCAAATGAAAATTATTGACCACAATTTTTATCGACCTCATTTTGATTTCTCATTTGATGAATTGATTTATTCCTCAGATGTAACACTGTGTATAAGTAAATCCTAGACATTTCAGCTTTTGACACACAAAGTAAAAGTTGGATTAGATATACCAATAAAGCTCTTTAAACTGTTAAAGTGACAGACTCATAAATCTATATAGAGATAGTACAATGAGCAACCCAGACAGTGCTTCACATCCTAAACATAAACAAATACAATATGAAAAATCATGAACATACAGTGCAAGGTATGCTGGGAATTTCTTTATAACAATTTCCCCAACACACGATTTATTACCCATTTATACCTACCATTTTTGTCTTTGCAACATTTAAAGTTGAATATGCTCTTCCCAACAATATAAAGGAAAACTGATTTCTGTACAGCTTCTCTAGACCCCCTACCTTGTGTTCTAAGACCTACAGTGGGACCAGACTCCAACTTTAATAAATAATAAATAAATAGTTTTACTGTATTTACAGTATAATTACTTGGCTTTTATGTGTCTCATACTTTCATTAGTACAAATATTGCAACCCAAGTACTTTTTAACATGCATAAAGCAGCTTACGAGTTGTTTTCATAAAATATATATATTTTTGGACACTTAGGTTTTAACAATATTTTCAAACAGAACAGAACTTTTTACTAAGATAGGGTAGCTAGTAGACAGAATGTGATCTAAAGAGGGGAAAAGATGCAAACACTGAAAATTACTGACAAAAACACATGCAAACCGCTTCAACAAAAGGACAAAGCAGACATTAATGCAGAAACACGTACCTTGTGGGAGCGGATCCACGGTTTACTGGATCAAAAGGCAGTTTGGTTCACCAGTCTGTCAGAAGTCGAGTCGAGATTTTTTTCTTCTTCTTTTTTCCTAAAAACAACTCTGAGTTTTTCCAGGACGGTTCTCTTTAAAATACACTATCAGCAAGGACACGTAAAAAGAGTTGTTGGCCTTTCTAAAAACCAGATGTCCCCGGAGACGTGTGCAGCAGCGGGTCAAACAAGCTGCTCTTTCCGTCCCCGCGGAGAAACTTGGGAAGTGCCTTTCATTCACCGAGTGGTCCCGATAAACTCTCCCCCAAAGGAAACGCCTACAGAAGGAGTTCCCTCCAAGATCCCACTGCCCCATGGATTCATTGAGAACAGGTGTTGTAGCCAAAAAAGTGATGTCCTGCTAAAAAAAAAGTGATAAGCCGCCGCGGGAGCGCGCACAGCGTGCGTCTCTCCGGTTCGGCTGTTTTACCAGTGGCGGAGCTAGACTTTTAAGCAGGGGGTGGAGGAGTTAAGGCTTTTTAGGGCAACGTCACCCTTTATTTAATTTTAAAAACATAATAAATTACAGTAACTCAGTTTAGGTTCGACTCTGTTCTACCTTACTTTGTGGCTCAAAAGTTCATCAGGTTGGCTTTTGGAAATTATTTCACTAAACTCAAGCATTAGGGGATCACAGAGGGAAACTTACAGCCCAAAAACTCCTTGTGCTTTAGGTCTTGAGGTTAAAGAGTATTAAAACCAAGATGTATATTTGTATTCCCAAAATTAAAGCAATGGTGTATCTCTGTTTATCATTTGCATTTTTTCCAAAAACCTCACAATATTTTCTCTGTGAGAGTGTCAGTTGTACTTGCATGTTTTTATATATATAATGAGATATTTATGTCGTTATCATGAAATACCAATGACAGTTTTCTCGAGACGTCTTCCATTATCACGAGAAGACATTAATTTTTTCTCCAAATAATGAGATGATTATTTTTTGTTGAACGCTAATGAGCAGTTTCTTAATGCTCTTAAAACCTTGCCAGTGGTCAAGCTGAAAATGTCAGATTGTGACAACACATCAGACTTTACACTGAATTACACATACATGCCATGACTTACACTTATAAGTCATTTCCCACTCACTAACTGTTGTGGCATGCATTTATAGGATTGAGTCAGGTTTAAAAAATCATATGTGAAATTAATTCATTATCTTGAGAAAACCATTGGGAATATGCGGAAAATGTCTTCTCACGTCTTCCGTAAGTTTCAAGTGTTTGTAGTTTATTATAAATATCTGAAAATTTTAATTATTCAAGGGAATGTAATATAAAGAGGGGTTTAACTTTTTGAATGTAAGTTTGTTTACATTTGGAACCATACTGTTACTGATCTGTACTGTGATAAATGTAATTCAATAAATGACCAAACATGAAAAATAATAAAGTTTTTTTTTTCACATTGATTTTGTTGATTCTGTTTGTTTAGTTTGCTGGTATTAATGCCAATCGTGCTGTTTTTATTGTTCAAGTAATGTTTGTGACAAAGTCCATAAAAATTTTACATTTCAAACATAACAACCCTCATAATGTGAATGTTCATGACTCAAAATGTGATTTCTCCAATAAATCACTACGATTTCTCCAATAAATCACTACTATCATTTCATATGCTTTATTTGGCACTTTTTAAATTGAACTCTAGTCCAATTAAAATTTAGAAAATCATATAGTACTGGCTAATGTTTATGAATGGCAAATGTTGATTACTGAGAACCATCATAACAAATACATCAAATGTTAAAAATGGTCTCCTCTCTGGGAGAGTGTGTTTCAGTAAATTTCACAACTTGAAAACAGTGACGCCAATTTGTTGAGATTTTTTTTTCTTTCATTCATTTATTTATTTATATGGGAGTGTGAAATCATTAACGAGTGTACATTTCTATAACCTTGGCAGGCACAAGACAGGTAAAGGAAGTTTCTGTCTGAATGTTTCTGTATGACTTTTCTGTGATCATAATCAGATGTTTGGACTAGCTTGTGTTACAACAGCATCTGGACCACACATGATACCAGATTACATTTCTCTGACTTTTAACATAATTGAGCCTTGAACAAACCTACAGTACAGTATACCGTTAAGCCTTATCATTCACTTTTTATAGCCTTTACAGCCAAGTCATCTCTATGAGTGTGTAAACAGGATGTTTATCCCCATAACATTAATAATATAGCACACACAGACAGTCTGTCCCACAGATGGATTCCATTGTGAATTCATTAGCAGATTGGCATGTTGTGTGTTTGAAAGTGTCAGGCTGTGAACAATGCAGGAGAGTGTTTGATTCTGGGTGGTTGTTAGTGTATGGCGCAGCACAGAGAGAGCACTGTGGGCCTGATTCCTTGGATCAAAACAAAAGCCATGTCTTCTGTCAGACATTTAACAGAGGGAGGGGGGCAGGGTGGAAGCCCCCGCAGTCATTAACATTAAAAAGCTGGTCATAAATTCAAGTTCCAAAGTGAACTACAGTCTTGCAAAGTTTTCAAAGTGAAAAAAGAAAGAAAGTAAATATGAAATGGTAACAAAATCTTAATAATGGTTAGGTCATAGCTTAATCTAATGTGACAAGCTCAGCCATCAAAAACTGCTTTTAGGATCCAAATAAAAAGGCAATTATCTGGAACAAACAATGCATGCTTTTTCATTTCACAGATTATCTAGAGGCAGTAAAAATGCCAAACTAACATGCGGGACAGTATGACACACTTGCGTGGTCAAGTTAATGATTAAAGGTGCTGTTTAGTTTAGGTGTGGTCAGTGCATTTTTCCTGTTTTATTCTAATAAACACTGCTACCTACGTGTTTTGTGTTTATTTCCTTCCTCTCTTTGTTCCGTCTCCTGCCTACTGAAATCTTAAGACCCCTTCTGGATGTCAACCCAGGTCCACAGAATGTGGTTGGATTAAATTGGAACACCTCCTTCAGTATAAAGGCAATCATCATGCTGCTAAGCTTTTGGTACTCTGCAAACATTATTCATCATGCTCTGAACATCCACCCAAGTCTATCAGAATGCATCAAGATACATCTGGATATCACATCTGCACAAGGTTGTTTCAACGACTTTGTCACGATCATATAACACATACATAAAGCTAGTGTGACTGGTCATGTTTCAAATTGTCAATTGCCAAACAACACTGGGGCACTAGGCCTCACATCATGGATATGATTCCACAGCACATTGCCCCATATTCTACCTGATCTATAATGTGCTCCTACCTCAACATTAAACCACCATGGGCCTTGCAACAGAATTTTTTTTGAAAGCTGAAAACCATTGTGAACCTATTGTGGTCCTATCCTGCGGCGTAATGGACTGCCTTACTGGATTCTTAATGAATGCAGAAAAATCTTGCCAACACTCTGCAAGGACAATTTACATTCTGGCTGATGTTTTCCATTATAGCAGGATCATTATCTATTGCAAAGTCAGCTTAGGCTACGTCCACACTGCAGGCCAATGGCCATCAAACTCCAGTGTGAACAATCCATAGCCCAGAAGAAGATGTGATATTGCACTCTGCACACTGTGATTACAGGAGTAAATATTGATCCAACACATGTCACCATGTGCATCAATCCTGAAGCTGCCAACTGAATTATTATCTGCCAAACTTATTTTGTTCAATGTTTACACTTGACATGGCTGCTTACAGTTTACTCCGGCACAAAAATACCTTTCTGGAACAGGAGCGATGTAAGTAGAGGCAGATATATTATCAATATTTGGATCAATCCAAAAATTCTCTCACTCACATTTGGGAAATTTATCATAAAAGGACCACTAGGACACAAAAACTGCATTGATTAATTCTATTTAAAAAAAATTGCAAAAACTTAATGTCTTCTTCTTACCTTTTGAATAAACTCATGACAACATAGTGCTTTATTGCCACATATAGCCTGGAGTGAAAACTGGAGACGCTTGAATCAAACACAGGGATTCAACTGGTCCAAATATAGCCTGTAGCAACATATGTTCATCACATGAGCCATGTGTGTATTAACACCAGCAGTGCCAGGAAAAGTAAACATACTTAAACGAAATGCAAAAACGTACCTACTTTGCATGATCTACACTTGAACAGGTGTAGAGAACTTACCCATAATATCACGATCAGGACAAACATTGGCCCAGCAGACAGAGACCTGTTTGAGCACCAGTAGTGGGTGTTCAAACTGATGGAAACAACTTAGGGCCCGAAATCCTGACTTCTGCCCAATTATGAGCCACTCTTCAGGAATGTGCCAAGCCATCAAGTTTCCCTCCACAAGACACAGTAGCACCCACTATTGCTCTGTTTTCAGGCACACTTACACGGTTTGTTCCATTTTCAAGTCTGTGAAATCTCCTGCTGTCATATAAAATGTATATACCTCACCTGTGCAGTCCTACAGTCCTGTACAGGTCCTTCTCAAAACATTAGCATATTGTGATAAAGTTCATTAATTTCTGTAATGTACTGATAAGCATTAAACTTTCATATATTTTAGATTCATTGCACACCAACTGAAGTAGTTCAAGCCTTTTATTGTTTTAAAATTGATGATTTTGGCAAAAAAAGTAAAGAAAAACCAAAAACCCCCATCTCAAAAAATTAACATATTTCATCCGACCAATAAAAGAAAAGTGTTTTTAATACAAAAAAAGTCATCCTTCAAATAATTATGTTCAGTTATGCAGTCAATGCTTGGTGGGGAATCCTTTTGCAGAAATAACTGCTTCAATGCGGAGTGGCATGGAGGCAATCAGCCTGTGGCACTGCTGAGGTGTTATGGAGGCCCAGGATGCTTCGATAGCAGCTTTAAGCTCATCCAGAGTGTTGGGTCTTGTGTCTCTCAACTTTCTCTTCACAATATCCCACAGATTCTCTCTGGGGTTCAGGTCAGGAGAGTTGGCAGGCCAATTGAGCACAGTAATACCATGGTCAGTAAACCATTTATCAGTGGTTTTGGCACTGTGAGCAGGTGCCAGGTCGTGCTGAAAATGAAATCTTCATCTCCATAAAGCTTTTCAGCAGATGGAAGCACAAAGTGTTCCAAAGTCTGATAGCTAGCTGCATTGACCCTGGCCTTGATAAAACACAGTGGACCAACACCAGCAGCTGACATGGCTCCCCAGACCATCACTGACTGTGGGTCCTTGACAATGGACTTCAGGCATTTTGGCATTTCCTTCTCCCCAGTCTTCCTCCAGACTCTGGATCCTTGATTCCTGAATGACATGCAAAATTTGCTTTCATCTGAAAAAAGTACTTTGGACCACTGAGCAACAGTCCAGTGCTGCTTCTCTGTAACCCAGGTCAAGCGCTTCTGCC